CCGCCTGGACGAGGTGTTTTTGGGTGGGCTGGTCGGCAGAGGAGCCGAGCCACCAGCCGTTTCTGGTCAATGGGCTCCAGAGGCACGGATATAGCCAGAGGCTCCAGAGTACGTGGATGTGGTAGTTTCACTAAGGGTAAGTGCTTATACCAGTTTACCTGTCCTCAACTTTACCGCCGGCAACCTGTCTCTATTCTTACAGAATTGGGAGACGATCACCAAAGATGCCTGGATACTCCAGATGGTACAGGGCTACGTCATAGAGTTTTACTCGCAACCTGTTCGGACCTCTCCTCCACCCCAATACACGTCAGCAGAACAAGACCTACTGGTAGACGAAGGAATCTGCACACTCTTCAAAAAGGGCACAGTACAATACGAGGCAGAGGGCAGCGGTTTCTTCAGCAATCTCTTCCTGGTCTAGAAGAAAACGGGCGACTACCGACCGGTTATCAATCTACGACACTTAACATACTAGGTGGTATACAGGCATTTCAAGATGGAAGGAATTAATCTTCGCAAACGACTGGTTTAAGCGCCTGGACCTCAAAGACGCATACCTGTCAGTCCCCATCGCCCTAGATTGTCGTTGCTTCCTCTGGTTCAGGGGGAGAGGACGTACATGCCAGTTCACATGTCTGCCTTTTAGCCTCAGCTTGGCTCCGTGGTGCTTCACGAAGCTGCTGAAACCAGTGATGGCTCACATCCGAACCATGGGCGTGCGATGTCACGTTTATCTGGACGATTTGCTGATTTTCTGCTAATCGACATGCAGACTATGATTGCAGATGAAATTTCTTGTTCACTTTCTGGAATATTTAGGTTTCGTGGTGAACAGACAGAAGTCGTCTCTCTCTCTTTCCCAATCGGTCCAGTTCCTTGGCTTCTAAATCGTTTTGAAGAACTGCATACTACGCCTTCCAACGGCAAAGATAGCTAACATACGGAAGGAAATCAGATGCGTCCTCAGGATGGAAACGATTCCCCTCAGGATCCTCGCTCGGATAGTTCTATCATCCTCCATCCAAACAATATTTTCAGTATCACTACATTACAGAGCCATGCAATGTCTGAAGGTGAGATGCCTTCGCTCAGGACACTCGTACGACCATGGATCCCACTCTCAGCGGATGTTCGGACGGAACTCCACTGGTGGCTCCTTCACATGCAAGCCTGGAATGGCAAAGCGATCTTTGGTTCATCCCCGGACTTCATTGTAGAGTCAGACGCCAGCCTCTGGGGTTGGGGGTGCCCACTGTGCGGACTCCTTCACAGGGCAAAGAGACAACTTTGGCAGGGCAGGGCGAAGAGACAACTGTTTGGCCAAAGGCATGCCGAACTGCTGCATTCTGCTCCACATGGACAATATCTTGGGGGTGCAATACATCAACTGCCTGGGCGGGGCCAGATCCAAGGCTCTCACAGAGGCCACAAAGGACATATACAAGTTCTGTCTATCTCGCAATATCACGCTTTGAGTGGAATACCTACCGGGAATCGCCAACCTGACGGCAGATTGGTTCTCACACCATTGGCGGGACAGCAGCGCCTGGAAACTCAACGTCTCAGTATTTCAGGAACTAAGGCACTGGAAGGACCCATTACTTCTAGATCTATTTGCTTCTCGGACCAATCACCAACTTCCGAATTACTACAGCTGGCTCCTGGATCCGAATTGCGAAGCAGTGGATGCATTCCTACAAACATGGCTGAGTCACGGGGTATATGCGTTTCCCCCGTTCTCCATGATAGCGAGAGTGCTCCGTCACGCCCTTCCCCCAGGGTATCTCTACTTCTCATAGCTCCATTTTTGCAGATTTAGGCATGGTTCCCAGACTTATTGGAGATGTCCCACGATGCCCTGCTTCTCCTACCAATGTTCCCTCTACTTCTGACACCCCCTCGTACTAAATCAGAAGCTGATCCTAGTGGCCTGGACGATATCAGGGGATCCTAATCAGTCCACGGCCTATCGCAATCAGCTAAGGATCTTCTATGGGACTCATAGGTTCCCGGCACCAGGAGATGCTATATTTCCCCATGGTCCGCCTGGAGTAGTTGGTGCCCATTAATCCTCAACTACCTCTCACATCTGTTTTCATTAGGTTGGTCATACTGATCTTTCAACGTGATTGGCCTTTTCGGCAGCACACTTTCCGGTACAGGGCATTCCGGTGGGTCAGAACCCATTGGTTTGTCCGTTACTATGGGGTGCTAAACTGTCGAGATCTCCAGCACCGAAATACTCACGTCTCTGGCACGTGGATTTGGTACTGCGCTTCCTGAGAGATTGGCCGAATAACTCCTTCCTCTCGCTGAAACAACTTTCAGCCAAACTTACCCTCTTGCTGTATCTTGTCTCGTTTCGTTGTGTGGCAGGTGTCACGGCATTCAATGTCGACGGTTTCTCCTTCACTCCAGAAAGGGTTACCTTTAAGATTTCACGTCATACTAAGTTGGACTATACTTCAGTTTTTTTACCCATTTCTTATAGCGGACCCCAGACTATGTGTAGTTAAACATTAATGCGATATACCGAAATCTCAACTCCTCTCCGAACCTCTTCGGCGGGTCAGCTTTTGATTTCATATGTGAAGCCTCATGGTCCAGTGTCTACTACAACACTGGCCAGATGGGTCAGCTGGCTTTTATCGTTAGCCGGCGTTGAACCATGCTTTGGGGCACACTCGGTCAGAGGTGCGGCCGCTTCACAAGCTTTCTCGGAGCCACTCTTGCCAACATTATGGATTGTGCGGATTGGACATGTGAGAGTACTTTCAGGATGTTTTTTTTTGGCAGACTTCTCATGCTTCATTTACTTTGATTAATTCTTAGCATTATAAATGCAAATATGAAGCCTGTCATGTGGTAAAATTGTAAATTATACTAACGTAGTGTACCTATAATCTTAATTTTAGTAATGACAGGAGGCGAATATTTCCCACCCTAACTTTTCCCTCCCGAATTGTAGATATGATTATGTAGCATTCAATATATTTTCTCTGGTTAAACTTTACGTATAAGATGGTTATGTATCACAATTATATAGATTTGATGTTAAAGAATATATTTTCTTGCTATCATGACATGCATAATAGTTGTCACAAGGTCTTTGATGTTCATTATATGCGGGCAACTTGTTAATTGAAATACCTTTCACTTTTTTCTTTTTCTTTCAGTGTGATTGGTTATCTCCGAAGGACAGACTCACCTTTCTGTTTCTCTACCTGAAGTTCATACCGGATTTGGGATGATATTGTTTGATTTAACTTTGGATTTATGTTGTTTATCATGGTTTTCTGTGTTTTTTCTACCTGTTTAATACTCGCTACAAAGAAAGAGGAAGTGGTGTAACTGTCAGGGCCTTTTATGTATCACCTGACTTTTTCTGATTGGTTATTTTGTTTCTGTGCTGCTGGAGATTTTCAGTAAAAAGAGTTATGCAAATATGAAGCCTCCTGTCATTACTAAAATTAAGATTATAGGTACACTACGTTAGCATGAACTACAATTTTAATAATGACAGCAGGCCAACATTTACATCATCTTTCTTTACTCACTCCACAGCAGCAAAGAAAATCATTACATTACAGTCAGTAACATATAAAAGAGGCATGTGTAACTGTAGTACTTCCTCTAATTTGCGACATCACAAGTCCAACAAATTAACATCCTTGAAACTGGCAACAGTAGTAACAATAAAGGCCGAAGTCTGAGGATGAGTGGGTCCCGAACATGTATTCGAGCATCAGTTCCAGAGACAATCCAAACTGAAATGAGAAAGAATGTGGTAAATCGTTAACCAACAGTAGGAAACGTCTGAAGCATGTAACCTGGCTGATCTATGCCACATCAGTCCATCCTTGCAAGCGCGCTGTCTTGGCGTTATACGTGATTCTGGCCTCACATTTGAGACTCACATCTGCCCCTTTCTTACACAAGATGCTACTAAGGAGCTTGTCCATGTTCTAGTAATCTCTCACATTGAATTATTGTAACTCTTTCCTAATAAGTCTTCCCACAAGTTGTATTGCCCTGCTACAGTCTGTAAGGAATGCTACACTGATTTTCCTCTCCCGCTCCTCTGACACCTCTCCTCTATGTCAGTCCTTACATTGGCTTCCTGTATCCTATAGTAGTCAAATCAAGGTACTAATCCACACCTATAAAGCACTGACCAATTCTAGCTCCTCCTATATTTCTTCACTGATCTGCAGGTATGCCCCTTCTTGGTCTCTCCACTCTGCCTTAAACCTTCTCCTGTCTGCTGCTCACACCCATACAGCCAACTCATGCTTGCAGGACTTCTTGCAGGTGGCTCCTTTCCTGCCTACGACCATCAAGCTCTCCCCTAGTCTTCAAACGTTTAAAAAGTGCCTCAAAACCCATCTCTTTAGAAAAGTTTATGGCCTCCTAGAGTAACCCCTACCTCACATACCTGTCCCTTGCTTTCTCCTAAAAGGCAACACTATTCTCTCGTCCAGCGTTCACTCCACCTTGTTTGATTGCTACCTCCTGGCCTGTTGGGTTTTACGCCCCACCTCCTATAGAATGTAAGCTCGTTTGAGCAAGGCCCTCTTCAGCCAATTGTTCCTGTAAGTTTTTGTAATTGTCTAATTTATTGTTAAATCTCCACCTTTGATAATATTGTATAGCACTACGGAATATGCTGGCGCTATATAAATACCAGTGATATAATAATAATAATAAATAATTATAATCAAAACAATAACCCAAGAAGAAAAAACACCTAATGACTAAACTAACTAAACACAACAGTGTAGTGGGACCTGGGTAACCAGGCTGGTTATCCCCTTTGGTACAGATAGGTCAGACATATTTCCCCAGTAACCGGATGGGACACAGTTCCAGGATACAACTTTGACAATCTTTATTTGGGCACACAGCTTTTTAAGCACAGACCCCTGCAGGCTACATTTTGACATTCAGGGGGATATACTTTTGGGCCTCAGCGCCCCGGGACAGGAAAGGGTTAGAGGGTTAAAACTTACATAGCTAAATAGCCCCAGGTCCCCTCTGGGACCCCTGCAAAAAGCGGTTTGATCGGACATACAGAGCCAGAGATATCAGCGTTGAAAGTCTGGGTCTCAAGGCTCTGTACATCCACTAAATCAGTTCCATGGTGTTGCTTGGTTTAGTCCGGAGAATTCAAACCAAGTAACAGCCAATCAGCTGAAATGGTGCGAACCAAATCATGCCAATCAGCGTTATGAGAAGGAAGGAGTTTCGCCACCCAATTCGAAGAAAGGGCGTAAAACCTATTCGCGCCAATCAGCACCCAGGGACGAGAAGGGGCTTCGACGTCCAATCAGATGGAAGGGCGCGAAACCCTGTTTGAATAAGCGCTCCATCTCGGATTGGTTGGTACGGACTTCCATGCGGCCAGCGGGAATCCTGCAGCCGTGAGACCGACTCACAGCCCCAGGCTGGCGTGTGTCCCTCTCTTCGGTGGAAATCCTCACCCAGGTATGCACCAGAGAGAGAGCGCTCTCCTGGGCAGCCATGAGCATAGCATCGTAGTTAAATAAGCATTTTAAATTAAGTGGTCCGGCACGGTTCGGGAGACTAATGCTTCAGGAATAATGGTAAGCGTTCGGTAATAAGAACCGGCGGCCACCCAGGGGCAGCAAGCGCCGCTCGTTTCCTTGCGGTCTGCGGTTTTCACACCTCGTTAGCGTCCGAGCCCCTGGAATAATTGAACCTTTGCCGGTTCCCCGTTTGCGGGAAGAAGGGTCGCGATTGCGTGTAATGGGAGTCTGAGGGCCAGAAGTGGCTAGTGGCACGGCCCCGTTGCCCTGTGAAAAACACACTGGGAAGCATTTCCCCAGGAGACCGTCCGCATGGAATGTTGAGCTTTATTCAAGGATGGGAATATGTTTATTGAGTTCCTTGATGATGGCATCTCCGAAAAGCCTACCTTGTGCCTGGTGGCCGAGTACCTTGGCCCCCAAATCCACCAACTTTGTGTCGATTTGGACAGCGCCTCTCTGAAGAGAGGGACACATTGGTGTTCCCAATAAAACAAAAGCACCGTTGTGCCCACTCTCTGATATCGCGCGCCTGTTCGCGCACCATGTCCGAAATGAACTCCTCCGCCCAGGCATAAGCATCATATGCTAAGTACATGATTGTCACCAGTGGCCCAATGGAATTCGCAAGTTTATCCTGCGCTCCTTTGAATCCTCACTCGACTCCCGTGCGAGGGTCATGGCCTCTACGAGCCATAAATGCTGATCAAATTCAGGGGTTGCTGCAACTTTGTCGGGCTAAAGTGGGGCGAGGGCATTCTGACTTCATACATTTATGCATGTCTTTGTAGAGAGTTTTCCGCAACCAAAAGTGCATACAATTTGCCAGATGTTTTGGCGGAGACCAGTCCCCGGAGCGAGAGTGGCTTATGTTGCGAGGGTCAAACATTTGCTGACCAGTGGTATCCAGGAAAATTTCAGCGTCAACCTGGGAAAGGGACTCTCCTTCAGCCATAACGCTCTTACTCTGGGGCTCACCCAAGAGCGATTCCGTGACAAAAGCCAAGTCCGTCTTTGGTGTAGCGCCCCGCGCTGCGTCCTTTGAATCAGATTCCTCGGCTTGGCATTCGTCCAATATGGACAGCTTGTGAGGGAGGTCATGTTTCTCATCCGAGGAGACTAGATCCGCAGGTTTCGAGACTGACTGTGCTGGGACCTTACCCTGTCTTACGGGTGCTTTGCCCTTAGATTTTTTAGCCTTGGAGCTTTCACCTTTCCGCTGGCACTTAGGTGGGCGAGAGCGGTTCCTGTAAGGGTCTGAGTTCTCAGAATCGGCAACATATCTGCGACATAATGAGTCAGTTTCGGGGCAGACTGAGCGGAGTTGTGTTCCGCTGGAAATGCTTTAGAGAACGCCTTCTCCATGGAGGCAGCCAGTGCCGTGGCAATCATAGCCTGTATGTCTAATGGTGTTTGGGAGTCTTCCATGGTAACTTATTGTAGGACAGTGGGACACTGAACACCTTTGTACAAACCAGAAATTAGCACGTAGGATAGTAGAGGCTTGGGGACCAAGAAGGTGAGGTTTATGGAACCTGTATCACCAATTGTAGGCCAGGGATATGTAAACAGAGCAGAGTACCATACAATTATCACTGGGGCTCACAGGAAAACAGAACCTGCATCAACAGGTTCAGCTCAGCAGCATATACAGGGAGCTCACCCTAGGCCAGAATAAGGGATAAGACCCCACTGGATACCCAACCCCACAGTGCAGAGCACTAACCTTAATCCTGGTCCCAACTGAGCAGTGGCATCTCCAGCATTCATGTTTAGGGGAGGCACATGGGGGGCCAGTGACAAAAGTGGGGGCGGGGGGCAATTATAAAATATGTGTGTTTGTGTGTGTAGGTAAAGATCGTAAACACCTACACTAAACTGCAACCACAGGACTTGCCCCTGTAACTAGATTTCAATTTCACATAGAAAAACAAAACATATAAAACTAAAAATACTATTCTAAATTTCATCCCCTCATACCTCTTAAATTTATGACAAAGTTGACCAGATAAGCGGCTGTCAGGGGTTTTTCGTCTTGTCTGTGCTGTGTATTCAAAGCCAGGGCCCATTTTAATGATACATTTAAACTGCATATTAAATCATCATTATGCAAGGCCACCGATAGCAGTGCACTATTATTATTTCTGAATAGGGAAATTGCATTTTAATCACAATTGAAAAATACACTGTTAATATAATGGACACAAATAAAAAAGGACATATTTGCTCCTCATTCATAACCTGCCTGCTGTTTGAGAACAGAGAAGGCACTGCCACACCATTGTCAAGCTATTTGGCGACATAGATAGCACCGGCAAACTGAGGACAGATGACACGAGACTCAAAGTCTCTCAGTCTCATTTGCATTCCCCCATCAACTAGGGTAGTGTGGTCTGCATGGGCGGGGACACACAGTAATCTAAGTAAATTACTTGAAGTGTTTAAAAATGAATGATGGGCAAATGGGTTTGTATTCCTGGCACTGTAGGATCCCTTTAAATGTGTGCCCTAACCTGCCTATGACCTGTATGAAAGTTGGTGAACCTATTACCTACACAAACTAAAACTAAAATTACTTGTTTCATTGTTATACACACACAATAGGTAATCCTGGGTACATACATATAATTTACTCAAAAAGTTCAATTAAAGTTCACGTTACTTAGAGTAGTAATGTCACTGTTTGAAGTGTTCACTCCGCTCGCTCAGTCCCTCTGCAAACTGCAATCTCAGGTAGGTAAGGTGTAGCCACACTGTCCGCTCTACTCACTCCCTCTGCACACTGCACTCTCAGGTAGTTAAGGTGTAGCCGCACTGTCCACTCCACTCGTTCCCTCTGCAAACTGCAATTTTGGGTAGGTAAGATGTAACTGCATTGTCCACTTCACTAACTCCCTCTGCAAACTGCACTCTCAGGTAGGTAAGGTTTCACACCTTACGTGTGGCTGCACTGTAAACTGTCTACAGTCTCTGGTAAGTAAGGCTCCTCTCTGCCTGCTTGCTCTGCTCCCCTCTACTTACTCTGCTCCCCCTTACTTCAAGTTAATTGCTCTGCTCTCTGTTCCGCCTTATTTCACGTTACTTGCTCTGCTCCCATCTACTTGCCCTGCTCCTTCTTACTTGCTCAGCCCCCCTTACTTGCTCTGCTCTCTGCTCTGCCTTACCTGCTCAGCTCCCCTTATTTGCTCAGCCCCCTTTCTTGCTCACCCCCTTATTTGCTCAGCCCCCTTATTTGCTCAACCCACCCTTATTTGCTCAGCCCCTTCTTACTTGCTCACCCCCTTACTTTTACTTGCGCCCCCTTATATGCTCACCCCCTTACTTGCTCAGCCCCCTCCTTATATGCTACCCCTCCAGTGGCAGATCTCCCTGCCTCTGGATTAATATTTGAGACTGTTTTGTCTGTTTGTTCACCAGTTGCTGGTTGTTCGTGTGTTCCCTGGGTGCATTCCCTAAAAGATGAACTAACTATCGAATGGCGGGCCACCCAGCAGAGAACTGTGCTGCTTGTTAACCTTTTTGACCTTGTTAACACTGTGGTTAACCGCAGCCACTTCCAACTCCCGAACGGTCGGCTGGGTGGTCGTCATTCACCTGAACGAACACGTCGCGGCGGACATCTTGGACAGTTGAACGCCAGCGGTGTTCGTTGACAACCACATGGCAATAATTTTGGACACTGTTTCCCACGAACACCACTGAGATTACCAACCATCCACCTCTTTGTTCCAGTTCATACGAATACTGTGCCGTTCGGTATATTGACAATACACGAACGGAACCGTCCTAGATAGCTAAACCCATAGAGCTCATTCTTTCTGCCGAACGCCCGATGAACACTTTAACTCCATGGCGATTTGACTGTATACATATGATATGAGCGCTGTTTGGATATATTGAGCGCTCAGATCCAAGCTATTTGGGATATTTTGAACGTGGGGGTTCCGTTCGGGAAAATAATAATTATATATTTGTGTGTGTTTTTACTGTTATTGTGGGAATATTCTCTATACCTGGAGATAATAGAGTTACTTCAGGCATGTAACCCAATTATCTCCAGGATAGAGAGGAGGAGTTGCACTGTTTGTGTGGGAGAGTTTTCATATTGTGACTGTATGTGATTGGATACTGTACAAATGTCTCAGTCTTCCACAAGGTCCCTATGGGAGTGTCCCTTGCTGGAAGACCTGCATAAAAGGGCGATATGAGGCCACCATTAAACAGATCACGCTTGACCCTCAACACAGAGCCTCGTCTCGTGCTTGGGGGAATATTTCGTATGATTCTTGTTTGGTGCTTAGGAGTGTTCGGTAGCTAACTTCTTATTCTGGGAAAAGAACAACTTTGGCGGTGTTAACGCCTTCTCATACCCGAGGTGCTGTTATACCCCCTTACTTGCTCACCCCCCTTATTTGCTCAGCCCCCCTTACTTGCTCACCCCACTTTATATGCTCAGTCCCCCTTACTTGCTCACCCCACCTTTATTTGCTCACCCCACCCTTATATGCTCAGGCCCCCCCTTACTCTTATGCTCTTTTCTCCTCTTGCTCTTTTCCACAGTGCTTTCCTATGCTTGCCTTGCTCCCCATTTGCTTGCTCTGTCTTCCTTTCAATGCTCTTGCTCTGCTCTCTGCTTACGCTCCGCCTCCAAGGTGTGGCCCCATGTGCCGCAATGTGCTCTCCCGCTCCAGTCCCTCCCTCTCCCTCTCTATGGTCTGAGGTCTGCCAAAGGCGATGATGTAATGGTGCACCGCACTGTGGCTCAGCTTGCTGTAACCTGCATGTATGTTATTTTGTTATTTATGACAAGGCAGACAGCCATATAGCTTTATTTTAAATTGGGGGGGAACAAGGGGGAGCACAGCCTGATCTGGGGGGTCATGGCCCCCTCTGGCCCCCAAAGCGACGCCACTGCAACTGAGTCTCAAGCGGCTATAGAAACAGTAGTGTTGAAGCAGAGTAGTAATATTCCATACAGCACGACCGCAATGCATCCAAAATGGCAAAACTGGAGCGTTTTTAGTGAAAAACATGCCCCCAAAATAGCCACCACGAGAAACTGTGGCAAAAAGTCCAGAAAATAGGGCCTCGAATGCAAAGCTGTTCATAGAATAGTGTTTTTTCGGAGTTGAAGCTGCCGAACAAGCAAGGTTCGGTGCTACGGGAACCAATGCTCGATACCAATGTGAGCATGATAGCCATTTCGGGAGCTGAATGTGGAAACTTTCGGGACGCGAAAGCAGGTGAATGTGGGAAACACTAGTGTGTTAATCCGCGAATCCCTTTGGTGGCACGAACAGACGACAAAGTGCGCGCGTCTGAGTACAGCGTGTAAAAGAATAATAGGCGTTACAATGTTGAAAATTAACAAACTTTCAGATAAAGTATATATCATTTGAAGGAATATTTTCAGAATGTTGGTCGATCAAAATTACAAAATTAACAAATCGAAACAAAACGTTTTCTGTGCACATCTCTAATTACCAGTTGGAATTAAGTAAGCTCTTTAGTGAGCAATACCATTGTGTGCTATATACTGTATTTAAGTCCTAGGGCTCCCTCTGCTGGAATGAAATTTGATTACATTAAGTAAAGAGTTTTTTTGTGGCAATTGTTAAATCTAATAAAGTCTCTATATATAAATGATGCACATTGGATTTAATTTATTTTTCCTTTCCACTTTTTGCTTTCAAACACCGTGTGAATAATTAAATAAAGTGATTTTTTAAACTAAAAATAAAATGATTTTACCTTCTTATTTCTGCAATCTCGTGGGGTTCTGTTTAAAAAGATGACGGGAATGGCTGTGTGATATGTATGTGTGGAGTTCTCTGAGTGTGAATGTGTGTGGCACTGGCTACATGTGTCTGTGAGGGCTGAGTTTGATTTTGTTTGCGGGTTGTCTGAATGTGATTGTGTATGAGGACCAGCTCAGTGCTCTCGTGGGTAGAGCTACCTAAGTATAATTGTGTGTGGATTTTGACTGAGTTTTTTGAGTGTGAAGTTGACAGACTGAGTGTAATTTTGTGTGGAGTTGTTTGAATGTGATGTGTGGAGTTATCTAAGTGTAATTGAATGTGGACATGACTGTGTGTGATTGAGTGTGATGTTGGCTAAGTGTGATTGTGTGTGTAGAGTGTGTGTGTGTATGTGTGTGTGTAATACAGGTGATACTCGAAAAATTAGAATATCATGCAAAAGTTAATTTATTTCACTAATGCAACGTAAAAGGGGAAATTAATATATGAGATAGACGCATTACATGCAAAGCAAGATAGTCCAAGCCGTTATTTGTCATAAGTGCGATGATTATGGCTTACAGCTCATGAAAACCCCAAATCCACAATCTCAGTAAATTAGAATATTGTGCCTTTAAATGGTCTCTCAGTCTGGTTCAGTAGGAATCACAATCATGGGGAAGACTGCTGACCTGACAGTTGTGCAGAAAACCATCATTGACACCCTCCATAAGGAGGGAAAGCCTCAAAAGGTAATTGCGAAGGAAGTTGGATGTTCCCAAAGTGCTGTATCAAAGCACATTAATAGAAAGTTATGTGGAAGGGAAAAGTGTGGAAGAAAAAGGTGCACAAGCAGCAGGGATGACCGCAGCCTGGAGAGGATTGTCAGGAAAAGGCCATTCAAATGTGTTGGGGACTTTCACAAGGAGTGGACTGAGGCTGGAGTCAGTGCATAAAGAGCCACCACACACAACTGGATCCTGGACATGGGCTTCAGATGTCGTATTCCTCTTGTCAAGCCGCTCCTGAACAACAAACAACGTCAGAAGCATCTTACCTGGGCTAAAGAAAAACAGACCTGGTCTGTTGCTCGGTGGTCCAAAGTCCTCTTTTCTGATGAGAGCAACTTTTGCATCTCATTTTGAAACCAAAGACCCAGAGTCTGGAGGAAGAATGGAGGCTAGAGTTCACTCTCGCTAGATCTGAGCGTTGCCATTGTAACCGCGGCAAAGCTCAGACATCGGCAGAGGACCCGGCGGAGCTGCTGGCTAGAGCTCCCCGGGTCCTCTCCTGCCTCCCTCCCCAGCCGGCGGCTGCTTGTAACTGCCTCTGGGCCCGGTGAGGGAGATCTTTGATCTCCCCACAGGCCCATGAAGGCACACAGCAGGGCCGGCACTCGGATAGCGCTGGCCCTGCAGGGGCTGGCAGGGAAGATCCTGTGTATGCCCGATGGCCAGTCCGGGCCTGGTTTGCACTATTAACACTTGTAATCTTTCATATACTTCCTTATTTTGTATGGTATTTATTTTAATTTTATAACCAATGGCTTCATTCTTCTATATATATATGGCCACTTATCTAATTCAAACACAGTTTAACACTGGTTTAAATCCTATACACGTTGCACTTTTCTATCACCTACAGTGATTATAGTCAAATTTTTGTCTCTTTAAAAGTTTTAAATTATGCAGATATTATATACATTTCGACTCCAAATGAGTTGTTTTAGCCTATTTTAGGTTATTTTTTTATATACACACTTAATTCTATATATAACAATTCTGTGAATTTGATGTGTTTTATGTGTTAAGGATACTTAATATTAATACTCTGTGATCTTGATCAAGGATCTCTAATCGATAATGGAAAGAACCTACTTAAGGGCATCTCTTTATACACACTTTCTTCTATATATGAAAACTCTTTGAACTTGATGTGCTTTATGTGTTAAGGATACTTAATATTAATACTCTGATTTTGATCAAGGATTTCTAATCAATAATGGAAATTTCTGTAATCGTATACTCTGGTCTTATTTTTGTATTGTATTTATATTGTAAATGTGTATTTTATATCCTATATACACTTGGATGTTATGTCAGTATCCATATAAAAATAATATATACATTTCTTTTTCCTGTATCAACAAATTAATAAGTCTTTCAAAGCTATTTTTTTGGCAATTAAGTATTAGACTCTCTTTCTAATTAATGCAATTAATTAAGTATTGCTGATAAGCAGTATACTACTTTCAGCTGTTAAACTACTTGCTTAGGATACTGATTCACAAGTATTTTATAATTGTGATTGTTTAAAGTTTGTTATATATATATTGTAAAATTGATGTATGTATCAGCTTATGTCTTGAACCAAGGAGTGCCTGGACCTCTATTACTTTAGCCAGTAAATATAGTCCAGGCACTCAGGATCACGTATGCAGCAGTTTTATTGGAAAATCAGGAAAAACATGCAGTTGAGATCGAAGCATTGGACGTTTTTCCTGATTTTCCAATACAACTGCTGTATAAGTGATCCTGAGCGCCTGAACTACATTTATTGTTTGTTCATTGAAGTGGGGTTAGCCAGCCACATTTTATTACTCATGGAAGTTGGGTAATGTATTTCAAATACTAAACAACTATTACACAAGAAATACAATATTTGAATTTAATTAAATGTTTGCATAGTTCAAGGAACTTTTTAAATATCAAAATAAAGACTGTTTTTGAACATTTAAAGAAACAGCTTATTTGTGCATTTATATATTAAAAAGTCTAACGGCACCCCGGGTATAGAAGGGGTTAACGCTGCCAAAGATGTTCCCTTTCCTGAATGAGAAGTCAGCTACTGAACACTCCTAAGCGCCGAACAGGAAACACACGAATAATCCCCCCAAGTACGAGACGAGGCTCTGTATTGAGGGTCAAGCAGGATCTGTTTAATGTGGGCTACATGCCCGTCTTTTACGCAGGTTTTCCATCAAGGGACACTCCCATAGGGGCCTTGTGGAAGACTGAGTCAAATTTGTACAGTAACCAATCAAATGCATGTACAGTAATTAACACTCCCACATGAACATTCCAACTCTCCTCTCTATCCTGGAGATAATTGGGTTAAGTGCTAGAAGTAACTCAATTACCTCCAGGGATAGAGAATATCCTCCATTTTATATCAACAGTAAAACACAATAAAATACATATTCCCAAAACTACCGAACAGAATCCCCACATTAGATCTGAGCACACAATATAACTGAATAGCGCTCAGATCCCATACATACAGTTCAATTGCCATGGAGCTTAAGTCTTGTACAGAGTGCGTTCGACGAAACGAATGGGCTCCATGGGATAGCTATCTGGGGCAGTTCTGTTTGTGTATAGTCAATGTACCAAACGATACTGCATTCTTATGAACCTGGAACAGAACAAGGGAGGGTCGGCGACTTGTGAAATAGTGGCCGATATTAGTTCCACAAGTTTGTCGACGAACACTGCTGGGCATTCGACTGTCCAAGATGGCCACCGCCACGTGTTCGTTCATACGAACGACGACCACCCAGCCATCCATTCGGGAGTTGGAAGTGTCTGAGGTTAACCACAATGTTAATGAGGGCAGAGAGCAGCACACTTCCCTGCTGGGTGGCCTGCCATTCGGTAGTTTATTTGTATGTAGGTGAAGAAATGTAGAACCGTACAGACAAAGGGGCAAATACCGAACAAACAGACGAATCAAAGTTAAATAGTAATACTCCAAAGACAGAAAGGTCTGTCACAAATAGTAATACATGATGTACTTACAGAATATCTCTATGCTAACATACTGCACTATGTGTATATAACTGTTCTCTCTCTGTTTCCATAAGACCTTCTACCATACCCCAAAAGGATTAGCCATTTGCAAAGCAAGCACTACACTATATCCACAAGTGCATAAGTTGGAGCTAAGTCATAGGTCCATAAAAGTGTAAGTGTACCTCTTTATTCTTACCCTCAAAATACTAAAGATATACTACTAGATCAGTCCCTGTATTCCCTCTTTTTTTTTTTTTTATTCCATACACCACAAAGGACATTCAAGGCGCTACGCCCAGCCCTCTGTTTTACCACACATACATATTAACACAGATACACAAACATTGACACAGATACATACATTGACAGAGATACACACACTGATGTATACACAGATACACACTGATGCACCGTTACACAAATGTAAACACACTGACACATACACACACATTCACATTGACACACACACTGACGCATACACACATATACACATGGGCATACACACACACTGACACACATATATACACATATGAACATACTGATACACACATAGATACAGATACATATACACTCACACACTGACAAATACACACACTGATACAGAGATACACACACACGCACAGATAATTATATACATACACATCTGTCATAATTCCTATATTTTTAACCAGCCTCCTGTTTAAATACCTTTTATGTGAGGATAGCGACTTCCTTGGGGTCCTGCTGCTGGGTGAGTCTGATGAGAGTATGGTGCTGGCTGGAACTGGATCCCTCCTTGCTCTCCCCCCTCCTGTCTGTGTCTAGTCCTCCTCTCCAACCAAGTTCAGCAATACCCATCAGCCCCCATGGCGTGCAGGACCCGGACAGTAATGCCGTCACTGACTTTACCTCAACTTCACCCATGAAAATGTTACCCACTAGGATGCACCCACACAATGCACCTCCACCAATAAACATAAAAAGAAACATCCTTCTGCCCCAATTCATATTTTACATCTCTCATAGTTATGTTACTTCCAGCGATTTCCCTGTCAGCTGTC